AATACTATATAATGATTTAATATTAATACTATACATGCAGTGCGTGCAATCATAAGGTAGTGGTAGTGGTAGCATGTAATCATTGTAAAAATACCAAAAGTCCACATTGTAGCTATAGTCCGCCGTACTGTTCATCCTGAAGGACTCAACCTTAAATCCTTTTTGGCTTACTTATTCCATTGCTCAGATCGCTGGAGAGGATACCGCGTACGTAATTACTAGCTACAAGCGAGCGTGCGTATTTGGATTTGATAATTAACATGAGCTATTGGATTCAACCAAGAGAGGATCCTCTATTATTGAACTTAGAGACTGATGCTGATTGCTGGTGTGACTGCGATGTGAGTCGACTTTACTCCGTGGCCAGGCACAGTCTTTTTTCATTGTTGACTTGAGATATCTCAATTCCTGAGTGCTGTACCGCCATGATTGATATAACGAATGTCCGTCATATGAGCTGTTTCTCTCCGTACTATCTAGACGACTGTCATACTGACCTCGCGGCCTCAGCTATCAGAATGGCCCTCGGGAAATTCCCCGCACTCTCTTGATGTAATCAACCTCGGTTGTCTGAGAAGACCGAGATGAGATAAAAGCATCAAATTGATTATCTTGTATTGAATCAATAATAGCTAAGCAATATCAACAGCACGATTATTCATCATGCCAGGTCTCACTCTGCATCTCCTTGCTCTTGCTCCCTCCACCACCGCCGAGTCTTTCCTTCGCCAGCTCCGCCAATCCTCCGCCGTCAAGGTCATTCTCGCCTCTCGTCCACGACACATCGTTATTCCTCCCACCCTCATTGACTCCAATCTGCTGACGACCACAAAATGGGACCTTCTTGTTCTTCTGCAGCCGGCCTCGGTAACAAAAGAAGCAGCCCTTGAATCACTTCCGCCTAACCTACAACCCCTCGTGCAACAAGAGTACCGTCTCGCCGTCGGCATCCCCTCAAAGCTTCTATCCAACTACGATGACCGCGACAAATCTCTCAAACGAAGCGCCTCCTCCATCCCTCTAACCGGCTCCCTGGCTAATGCCCGCCAGAAGTCCTCCTCAAAGAATCTGGAACTCTCACCAGATCTACTCACCTTTATGGACACACTCACGCGTACACACGATGGTCCGGTCACCATGCTGAATCTGCTGCATTTCCACCATCCCAACGGGAAGAAGAGCTACTACCAATACGGACAGGCTTTCATCCCTGTCGCTGGTAAGCGCGGCGGGAATGCAAAGCTCGTAGGGAATGTGATCACACCCGCTTCGACCGCCCAGGTCGACTCCCAGGGCAGCGTGGATCGACCAGAGACAGACTGGTGGAACGAAATCTCGCTGGTGCATTACCCGTCTATCAGGCATTTCTGCGATATGCTGGCTGGAGAGGACTATCAGGCGATTAATGAGACGTATCGCTTATCTGTGCGTTGCACCTTTTCTTACAAAATCTCCCTCAGGCTAATGCCGTCCAGGCTCTTCGAGATACGTTCTTGCTTTGCACAACAGAGTTCGACGTGGAGCGTTCACCTGCCAAACTATAATTTCTTTCATCGGTTTGGTGTATGTGTCATGCCAAACTAAAGGCAACAATTTGATCACCGTCTTTCAGTTGCCCACAGTCATCCACCTACATCAATGTCTCCAGCTCTATGCATTGCTGGCGCAGGAGAAACTGCCACCAGCTGGCTCTTCGCTGATTGCTCGGCCAGACGCATACAGTCCAAGGCCACACTGACCCATCAGTACAAGATGCGAGAAGATGATGACTACTTACCAGACATCCTCCCATTCCAAGCAGGATGAAATTGACAATGGTCAAGAATGTTTTCCTCGGCGACGAGAACCAAAGCCCCCGATTGATGAAGAGCCATAAGGCACCACATAGTCCATCTACGTAATTAGCAAAGCATCTCTTGACTGTTCTCAAAAGGATACGCACACGAGAACCAACTGCAGAACAGTGACGTCTGTAGTATTGTTAGACATGCAACCACTCGGGCATGGGCAACCTACAACCAGGCTCAGCAGGTTATTGAACTGAGGAACTGCTTCTGCAATGACCCAAGCTGTCGTCCACAGCACCACCAAGATTGCCACCCAAGTGCCTGTCGAGAACAGACTGCGCCGGTGCATATGCTCGGTACCCCGGAACAGACGGACATAAATGTACTTGGAGGCGATGTGTCCATTAATCACTCCGGCAATCAAAATCTACAACGTCAGTTTCCAGTACGTCAAATGACATCGTCCTGCAGTTCATACCGTCGGAATTGCAATTCCATACGCAACCTTCGCCATCAATGGGCTGGATGAGCCCAGTGCCGGCGACGCAACGTGCTGACCAGCAAACCGGTAGATAACCACACCGGTGACTGTGTACAAGGTCGTGTTGATGATTTCAACAAAACACAGCGTCTTCGGCCAGTCGGTGGGCGTTTTCATCTCGGAAATGAAGCCAAAGAAGGCCGGATGGGCGGCTACCGTTGTCGGTCAATGGTCCAGGTGCAGTCAATAGAGGCTTACCATAAGCGAACACGATATCCGTGACTGCGAGAAACGCCTTGTACAGACTAGTCGACCTAGTCACCTCAACCTTTGCATTCCGCGGCCGCTGGACACCAAGCGCAATCATCGTGACCACGACTGCCGCAACGATACTGGCAAACGCTGCGGTCATGGATCAGCAACAACTCTCTCACTCCTCATATCACAAATCTTACAAACAACTGACAACCATGTCATCCTCTTAAACGTCCGCGGCAAGCTCAACATAAGCGAAATCAGCAACCCCACCACCCCGAAAACAATACTGCATGTGCCATGATCCGTCAGTGTGTTCATCATGACAGTAAAAGTGAGAATGTGCCCTCCCATCACAAACACCAGGCAGAGCAGCAGCCCCGTCCCAAGTACCTCGCGCCCGATCCAGCCGAAGAGTACCTCGCCGGCATCAGCAATGCTATGAACCCTTTGGTATCGGACCCTGAACTGCCCCATTACATAGCCCGTGTAAATGGTGACGATAGCAATGCCGACGATGAGTATCACGCCTCTATTGTCAATGCACAATTAGTGAATTGTCTCTCATAAACGGAGACGGAAGACCAACGGGACGATTCCCAGTGTCGCCACTGCCGAGGGAAGCGATAGCATGCCTAGAGATGTTCCCCCGGCGAGCATAACTAGCCGGCGTTAGTCCAAGCAGAGGCTGACACCAAAGGCTACAACCTATTGCGCATCTCCTGTTCACATGTCATGTCAATCAGACTTCGTCGGCTTTCTGCTGAACCAGGGCTGACAAACCACCACTCCAACGTTCGGTACCTGACCTCTGCACCTTCTTCGTCTCCGAATGGCTCTCCGCCTGCAGTTTCAGGTTGCTCTTTGTACGTTTCGCCTCGATTGAGTGGTACCGCCGGCCGCGTTTCGAGGTCGTGGTTGGGTGTCTCGGGTGACATCTTGTTATTACCCGCTACGACTGGGCATCAAGTCGCAAATGCTGCTCCCTTTGCTAGGGCTGCCATGGCCTCCGTTCTTGCTTTATATATCCAGAAGCGAAATAGATGACTAGGTAACATCAGCCAGAGATGCAATGCAGTGCAACCATTCATTTGGCCACTGCGAAGAAACCTCAAAATGAAACATCACATCTCCAGCCAGTGTTCTAGAGTCGATTAGATCCTCCTTGCGTGGATGGCGATAGCCCTTGCATCTACATTCGATCGAAGCGTTCTGGTGGTTATGATAAGGCAGACTTCATTTCTTCCTTGCTTACAATAGATCTAGATTATCATGTTTGGAGGAAATCATAGCTCGTCCTGTAGTATTTGCAAGAAGGGGAAATCTGTCTATCATCTATGTCTAAGCCAGGGTATCATCAATCACAATGTCATATCAGTCATTTCATAGTCTCCGGGCACACACGGTCCCGAACGAACAAGTCCACCCCGGCTAGCTCACAAGCCCGGCGCAAGGGTCCCACCATCTCATAAACCCGCGGCTTGATGACCTTTTCACCAGCCGCAGAACCGTCGTATCCAGAATCCTCATAATCCTCCTCATCGTGGAACATTCCCTCGATCTCCAGCTTTTTCAACTCCTTGAAGCGAGGTGACTGTCCACTTTCACCGTCAGCACCGCCACTGCGGGAAGCGCTAAGCAGCGTTCCCAACTGGTTCACCAACATCGCCAGCGAATTCTCCTTGCATCCTTCCACATACAACGACTCCACTCCAGCCGGCAAGACCTCCGTCAGCGGAACCGACGGCTCAGCCTGGTACCGAATATCCAAAAGATTCGGCAACCGGATCCGGACATCCTTCAGGTTCGTGAAATCGGCCAGCGATCCGAACCACTCGTCGTGCGTCTCGTTAGCACCCGCAATGGTTAAGGGGAGATGCACCCCGCAGCTGTCCAGCCAGAGAGTGTGCAAGGTGTGTTTGCTAGCGGACAGCGAGCGGTAGAAGGCAGCAGGCTGGTAGCCTTCGGCGAGCAGATGGCCATCTGAATGCTGGTATTTAAACGACTGAAGGGCGGAGCAAGCGGTTACAATGCTAGTCATGCCCTTGGCGCCGCTGCTGGAGTTCAGGACGATTTCAGATACCGATGAGGCCGATGGATCTGGTTGCGGCTGTTCATCCGCGGAGGTCGATTCAACGACTGAATCAACTGTGACGGCGCGCATTGACGGTAGCTGGAAGAATGGAAGCACCTGAGACGGGGCGTAGGTGCCCTTGCTGTCCAGGGCGTCGTCCAGATGACCGAGTGAGACGCCTCGCAGAGCACGGAAGGCGGGCTGCATGTCGAACGGCTTCTCTCGCTGAACGGCCCGCTGCATCATGCGGTCGAGATACTTGTTCTCCTTGGGATATACCAACCGCAGCTGCTGGACGTTCCTCACCAGCGGGAGGAGAAGGGCGATCCAGGCCTCTTCGACATCCTGCTGCAGATCCTGCTCCCACTGGACGTATTCCTCGTCTGAGTGACTGATTTCTTGAGCCCAGTTGCGAAACACTTCCATCTCCTCTGCAGCCACGCTGGTGCTTTCGGAAGACTCAGATCGGGTTTGCCACTCGCTCAAATCCAAGGCGCGAACGGCCCGAGCCAGCTCGGGGTGTCGCAAAGCGGCACTCAGAAACGAGCGCGTCTGGTTGCAGTCCTTCAGCGTCGCATATCGGTATACAAGCCGACGGAACAACTCATGAAAATGACGACACACGAAAAGAAGATTGTAGCGGTCTTGATGATCCTCCAGGAACTCCCCAATGAGTAGTAGGACATCATTGGAGAGGGAGGGTGGCATGGTGCGAATATTCCCTGGTGATGAAAGACCTCGCTCTGGTTCAATCTGCAAGACACCTCATCCTTAAATGTTATGCCATGAGGCAAGTTCTTTTACTAAGCTTCAGAAATTTAATCCACCGTGGACCTTACATGGAATTTCCACTTCGGGAAAGCGGGAGGACCTGGCAGTGACTGAGATCTCCGCTGACCAATTGGCCAATGGGGATAAAGCAGCGGACATGTGGGCGGAATTTTTCCTCCACTTTTCCTGGAAAAATCAAAAGAGGCAATCTTCTTCATTTTTTTGCACATGTGGATCGTTTGTCAATTGCCAAAATCATATTTGCAGTAGTTTGACTGAGATTGACAGTCTGACTCAGTCAGTATGTATTCAGAATCAGTTTGCTAGAAGGGGCAGGTAGATGCTATTACCTTACTCTCTTTTGCCATTCACGATATCATCAGAGGTTACATATTAGCGATCGCGAGGAACAGAGTAGATTGGTCCAGGAGCTTTCACCTGTCAAATTACTCTTGAATACCAAATAGATGATTCACTGTGTACCTGCGTCACTGCACTTTGCAGAAAGCAAGCATTATAAAGTCATCAGCTTCATCCAATAGTTAATCAGTGCAGACATCGGCAAGCCTGCTTCTTTGGGATGTGGATCTTCCGCATCCGCAGCACTTATTTATTCTTAGCACTAGCTACCTCTCGAGAGGTAGTAGGCTGATCTGGCGATCACTCTAGATCTTCATCTCCTTAGAGACAACCAGGGTATCGATGGAATGTGCATTCCCCGCAAGTAGACCAGTGGTCATTTATAGGACGAAAAAAGTTCGCTAAAAGACTGACATTGTTCGTTGGGTATATGCAAAATCGACAATCTGGTCACAGAATGATGGTGATTCTACTCCGCTGCTAAGAAGCAGCTCGGAAATCGCTCCGGCCAGTCATAACTCTGACGTGGCTGCTTGGAAATCGATATCCGATCGACAGACACACCTACACGTTGACGATTATTGGTCAATCATTTCGTCATTCGCTGTTCAGTGAAGAGAGATATGGACAGATGCTGGACTACAAGTGTGCTTGGCTATGTACAACACCTCTCCAGTCGGCAAAAGCACGACGACTGAATAGGCACATCTGCCGTCGCTGCAGCGAGTCTCAATTGCCGCTGGATGATCCGTGCCTCTGCCGACCGTCCCAGCCTTGTCAAACACTCATGATACCCATGTAACGACCACACATTGTTCGGATGCTGCAGGGCCCGCGGCAGAGTATCGTCCATCCCCAGATCGGCACCGTACACTGCCGCGGCCTTCTCTACTTGTCCCTGCTCGAGCAAGAGAGCGCCATAGGCATGCCGGGTTGGCTGCATCCAGCCCCAAGGCTCGTCATAGGGGAGGCCATCGTCCAGCGCGATGGACCGTTGCAGGTGCACGAAGGCGGCGTCGATATTCCCGCGGCGGTATTCGATCTCCCCGTCAAGCATGGCATCCGCAATGGCCAGGATATCACGGCAGCTGTTGTTGAATAGCACTCGGCTGGGAGGGACACGGTCGAGAGATTTGTGGAATCTTGCCCGCTCCTTGTCTGCCTCGTCCACTTGTCCGAGGGCAGCATATGCTACGCCTTTGGCATAATAGATCATTGCCGTAGTCACGCAGTAGAGATCCTGGTCCTGTGGCAATTCCAGAGCAAGGATATCCTCCCAGCGCCCGAATCGGATAAGCACGTGCACTTTCACCGCGAGGAAGCCCTCGAGCCAGTCAGCCATTGGGGGGGAATCGATCCGTAAGAGTTCTTCGGGAATTGACGCCTCCAGCTCTGCTGCCGTGTCCAAGGCCACCCTCGACTGTCCGGCGAACATGGCCGCGTAGATGCGGAAGTGATAATCATGTGATCGATAGAGGGTATAGAAGTTGACGGGGCCTGCACGAGCGAGGAACTTCTCGTCCGCCCGGATAGCTTCCGAGTTGGAGGCCACTGCTCGGCGATTGTCGCCGCACAGAATGTCCAAATGCGTAGGCATATGATTCAGATGCCCTGCGTCAGGTACCAGGCCTCGCAGGTGGTCGGCAGCCGTCAATGCGGTCTCCGGGGAGCCTGACATCTCCATCAAATGGATGTACAAATGCAGCAGACCTGGATGAGAGAGTCCTCCCTTCTGAGCCAGCGCACGATCGAGGACAGTTTTTATGTCTAGAGTACGCGCGTTCGGCGCGGGTTGCCCAGTCTTTATATCCCAGAGCGCCCACGGAGTGAGATTCATCAAGGCATCTGCATACAGCACCGCGACATCTAGGTCATCTGAGTACTGTTTATACACCACTTCCATGGCATCAGCGTAGCCCTGGTTCCAGGATGAGCAGTCCCCCGCCGGCTGGTCAAGCGGGTACCGATACTGCAGGGCGTCGATTAGAGCCGCTTCTACTGGCGACGCTGTTTTTGCATTGGCCTTTGCATCTTCTGCAGCCCTGCGAGTGCGCTGAACTGTCGATTCGAGCTCCTGCTGATCGAAGACCTCCCATGGTTTGTTGTAGTTTGGACCGAGGGCGTAAGCGAGGCCCCAGTAAGACATGGCACACATGGGATCAATTGCGATGGATTTTTCGAAACAACGGACCGCTTCTTCATGGTTGAAGCCGTATGTCCAGATGAGCCCGCGATCGAACCATAGCTGAGCTTGATGATTAGCGGTGCTCACGCGTCGGTGATATGATCCGAGGTTGTAGTAGGAGGTATCATCTGAAGATCGCTCATGTTGTTTTTTCATCATGATTGATGTGGCTTTAAGTACCCATTACGGTACAGTTTTGAAGAACCTTTTCATTGATGCGAACATATTCAAATAAAGGTGTCGATAAAGGAGTTGGTGACAAAGTGGGGTAACTCAAGCGGGATAATATCTCATGATCCAAGTGGTATAAAAGTAGCATCGTCTCAACTTCTGGCTGCCCTCGAAATGCGATTCGTCATGGCAGGATTCTGACAGAATCAGTTCACTTGCTTGCACTTTCTATTCAAGACATAGTTGAGCATTGCATGATGCGGTTTGACTGTGAGAATATTTCGATGGATCGTCAAGAAACCCTCGGTACTCCGCGGATGAATGCGCAATTAGACATCCAATAATATGTAAACGGAGAAACCATACGGCGATATTGA